GCTCTGGGTCCCGTCGGGGGGGTGGGGGTCAAGACGAACGACAGCGAGGAGAGTCGTAAGGAACGAGAGACAAACGGTGCTGGTGCTGTGCTGCCTCAAAGCTGGGAGGTGCGCGTGGTCAAGCGGAGCGGGGAGAACTAGTCTTTCTTCAAGTCCCTGGATTCAAAAAGCTTCAGGCGTTCTTGCACAGTCAGGCCTTCCTTCAGACTCTGGGAGAGACAAAAGACAGAGAGGGTCGGACACGGGCGGGCAGGAGGCGGCACCCAGCACACGGAAAGGGCGCGATGCTCAGGCAAAGGAGACGTGGGCAGCGGGAGAACGGCCTCCTGGGTGGAGAGATTAGTGGGACATGCTAAGAGAAAACACACGGTTATGGAGGGTGGTTACTGGTGAATGGCGCCTAGAGAGAGGGTGAGATTGCACAGAAGCAGGTGACGGGGCAGAAGCGAATGAGAGGCACACCGTGCCGCAAGCGGGATTAGCTCCGCTCGGCAAACGACCCGCAGAGCCTGTGCTGCAGCGGTGGCTGGGGCAATTTCAGCTGAGCTTTGGCGCTGTGGGAGCCCCGGGAGGGGTCGGCTTGGATCTGCTACACTAAAGCACTATGGTGCAGAGCGGGACCTGCACGTCCACCCTTCCTGCCACCACGCGTGTCCGTCTTGGGACGGTCCTGGTTCGTGTCAACACGCAGGCTGTGCTCAAGCATCCCTAAAAGCTGTGTTTCTGGTGCCAGCGACAATCCCACCCTTTCTCTAACCCCAGCCTGGGGGACGTCCCAAGCCAAAGTTGGCTCTGCTGAGCAGGGTTAAACGGAGAAGCTAAATGCTTGCATCAGGTCTAGCAGGATCTGACAGCTGATCCAATTCAGATGCAGCATCCAGATTTTAAGGCACGACACTAGCTGGCCAACCGAAAAGCCCACCCTGCTAGCCCTTAGCATTTGTGAAATCCCTTGCCTATGCTTGGGGACCCAGAAGAACATAGATGTGAGGGGCAAAAACCCAGAAGCTGCTTGTATGGCAGCTTTAACCCAAAACTAGGAGAAGCCTAAAGCCAGCCTTCCCTCCTTCCTGCAGCCCCGAAGCTGTGGCATAAGAGCTTCAGGGGAGCAAAGCACCAGGGAAATTGTCCCTGCTTGCTGCAGGAGAGGAGGCACAGAGATCTCCCTCACCGACAGCTCTGCCCCTCAGCACTGTAAAGGCTTTTGGTCCTGGGATGCATCTGCTCTGGGACAGGCCAGCCTCCTGAGGGCACCCCACAGGTCGCTGCTGCCTGCAAGCCGATCCCTTGCAGCTTCCGAGGAATTCACTCCGCAGGAGGAATGTTATTTGCTTTCCAGATCAAGACGTGGCAGCTTCAAAAGGCACAGACCTGAACACAAAGCCCCTTCCATTAACGGGCAGCTGGCTCCCCTTCCGCTCTTTCTTCCCAGACCGTGGTGCCAGAGGGCTGCACAATCGTAGCAGCAGGTTTGACTTTTGGGCTGCGTTTTCTTTAAGGTGTGTTTATCAAGGCAGGACTCCATGATAAACTTGCCCCGAGACCGTACAGATTCCCATGGTTACTTCATTTCTTTAAATGCTTCTTCTCCCACAGGCCCACAAACACAGAATGGCTTTGCGGAGCAGCACGGAAATGAAAGCACTACGATGGCTTGGTTTGAATTTACAAGCGCCACACACTTCGTTTCCAACGAGCAGCAGAGTCTCCTGGGACGCGAGTCTCTGAGCACACACTTCCTCAAGGAAGTTTACTTTGGGCCTCTTTAAATGGGCAGCAACCGACGCATTCCAGTTTGTACATCTGATTTCTCACCAGATGGAAGGAGACAACACAAACCATTAGACTACTCTGCCTGACAGTATCAATTCCAGTGAATTCACCCCTTCAGGCAGCCTCACAACCCGTTTGCGTCGCTGATCAAGGGAGACTAATGTAGGATGAAATCTGTGATGAAGGGATCCTCCATCAGACTTCACGGGGCTTTTCAGCCACCCCTCTGCCTCTGTGCTGGGGAGCTCCCCTCTTTTCTCTAACCTCCCTTTGCAGGTTCTCTAACCTCAGTCTTTACTATGGTAAATTAACTATTATTCCAGCTCCTCAAGGTATGTGGCTCATTAGGATTCGCCTCATTTCTCATCAGCTCCCTGCTTTTGCTGGAAGAGCTTGCAAGCCATGGAGAGCAGCGGGGGAGACATCAGAGAGCTGGAGGAAGGCTGGAGAGCAGGAGGAGGAAGTTACTGGGCAAAGAAGGCTCTTTCGCTCAGGTATGGATCAACCTAAAGAAACAGTAATTACGGGTAAAAGGAAATTTAGGGCAGCCCAGGACATCCCCTCTGGGACTGAGGCAGGGGCCACGATTTCACACGCTACGGGCCGTCGTGGGAACTGCATTGACAGGCAGCACTAGCCCACTCTCCTGCCTCTCCTGTTTGCTAAGAGCAAACCAGCTATTTCTTCCTACATGACCTGGATGTTGCTGAAGTTTAGTCTGAGGCATGCAGAGTCATTCAAGCATGCACACTCAGTGTCCCGCGCTCCCAACACAGCAAACAGGAAAACGCGCCCCCACCGTGTCCAAACCCTCTCCGTGACGGTTAGCTGTGTTGGCGAGGGTGGGAGGAGCAGGAAGACGAGAAAAAGCCAGATTCCCCAGGGAAAAGCCAGAGAGATTGCATTTCAGAGGGATCTTGGGTACGCTCATCCCTCCCCTCCGCCCCTCCCCCCGTAAAATAATTAGCCATGAATAAACCAGTCAGTGATTAAGGAAAGAAGGGCTCCCGTTTGCCATGGAGGTGTGAGCAGTGCATGCAAAAGTGCGCCGCTCCAGCGGGCAGCTGCGTCGCTTGGTGGGTGCCGCTTTGTTTACCTACGTGGCAGGGAACCTGGACTCGGGTTCATTTCAGTTATCCCATGAGACCTGCTCAATAACGGACTGGTGAAGGAAAAAAAAAAAAAAAAGGCAAAACAAAACAAAACAGAAACAAAAAGAAGCTCATAAATCCTAAATGCATCGGCGTTCGCGCAGCCCCAGCCCCCTCCCCGGCCCGGCGGCGATGTGAGCAGGCAGCGTGCCCAGGCAGAGCCCATGCTTGCTCTCCTCTCCTACTTCCCCCACCAAGCAACACAGAGATGGGGGGACCACACGATGAACGGGCCGAGTTGGAAGCAGCGAGGGGAACCCCAACATCCGACCGGGCCTGGCAGGTCTCGGCTGCCCGCGAAATGCGCAGAGCTGCTCTCTGCATTTCCTCGGTGCAGCACAGGCCCCCCGAGCTGACCATCATCGCGGAGCGCGGGTGGTGATCGTTTCCCCAGCGCGGGCTCTGAGCCAGAAGCCCTTTGCCTGCCCAGCTTCTCACTCTGCCCAGGGTCCCAACCACTTCAAACACCAGCATGAGACAGCAGGTATCCAGTGGTGAGAGGCAAAGCAGGTTTTTAGCCATGCTGATCTTCTTTCCAACTGACCTATCTCTAACGGTGACTTCCGAGCGGCTTTATTTGCCCTTTTTAGCCCTGTGGTGCCACAGCGACAGGCAGCAGGAGCCTGGCACAGCATCACCGGGCTTTGGGACCAACGGCAAGTACAGAGCGGCCAAAGAAACACGGGATCATCTGCACCGTGTTAACACACAAGCAAAGCGTGTGTTACAAGACACCTGGGACTGAGGCATCGTTGTTCGATGTAAAGAGCAAAAATCTTGCAGCGATGAACGCTAAAACCTAGAAGGATGTGCACATTTCCACCTACTAGCACCACCTAAATTTCAACTGAAAATGGGGAGTGAATATTGGGAGAGTCCTCCTGTGAAAGACCAAAGAACAGAGTGAACTTCATCCTTTTTTTTTTCGAGGAGCTTCATGCCTCGGTCTTAGCAGGGTGAGGAGCGTGTGGGCCCTGCCTGGCTGCACAGCCAGCCGTTTCGCAGTCGAAAGCTCGCTTTTCTTCCCAGTGCCATCCAGGCTAGCGCTAGTGATTGGGAAATTCTCAATTTTCTTCCCCTGCTAATTTCTTCCCACCTGGGACCCCCACCTGGGCATTCCCATCACACGGGGCAGGAGATCTGAGCTCACCTTTGACCTGATATTCCTTAGTTGCCGGCTAACACTGGATCTGTCTTTCTTCAAGAAATCAGGGTTGCTTTTTGATTTCATAATATCTGGGAAGAAGCAAAAGAAACGGCGTTAGCATGGTGCCTGCCGCCTTTCTGCAAGGAGTGGGGCCGGGGCTCTTCTGCCCTCCCAGCCGGGGCAAACGTCGTGATGAGCCCAACGCGAGCAGCGCTGCCGGCAAGGGCAGAGGGGGCTCTCGGGGGTCTCCGCTCCTCTGCACCAGGTGCAGTGCGAGGTTTTTCCAAAAGCAAAACGCCAGAAGGCTTTCGAAGCCCATCCTGTCCGTGGGCTGGAAGGAGGAACTGCCATGGGAAGGCAGCTCTGGTGAGACTGTCTGCAAGGAGCGGAGGTGGGAAAGAGCACGGAACAGCAAAAAAGCACCACGCCAAGTCCTGCCCTTGGACCCACTGCTGCACATGGGTCAGGATGCACGTGTTAGCTCAGGAAACCCACGATTGCTTAGAGCTGCCAGAGGAGGACTGACCATATCCCGATACAGTGGTGTTCACAGGGGATTTCTCTCCCTGAGCTTCTGTGGCTGCTTTCAGCTGCTCTTTCAACCTGCTGATATCACAGTCTGCCTTGGCCTTCACGATGCTCAGCTCCGTGTAGATGTCTTTGTATTTGTCGCTGGCGTATTTCTTATCCTGGCAACGGAACAAGAACAACCCAATGGAGTCAGACAGACAGCTGGAGCCGAGGGGTTCGTGAACGCACTGAAGAGGAGCTTGGCAAATGCCGACAGAAGAAGAGCCGGCAGCGGGGAGAAATGCTTGGCCGGGACAACGCACGCTCTCGAAGCAGCGTCTAACAGCAGTACGGGACTGGAGAGAGGCAGAAAGTGAGCCCAGCAGCAAGCACGCAGCGCTGCCCGCGCACGCGCGGCCCCTTCATTACAGGCTTGCTTGTTTGTGGATTTTAATTTTAGCAAAGACATGGAATTTCAGCACAATTCCCAGAAATGGCCTTGCCAACAAGGCTGTCCAGAGCAAACCAGATCCCATGCTGGAAGGCTGGGCAGATCACTAACACTGACTATTTTTACCATTTAAATCTGATCTGATGTGACAGGAAATACGGAAAAAACACTGAAAGGGATGTTTTCCCACACAGACTCTCTTGTGGGGATGTCCTAAGCTGATACAGTGGTGGAGGACTCTACTGAAGACACCAAAATGGGTACTCAGTTCCATTCAGGGGAAAAATTGTTTCAAATCTGGGTGTAAGTTAGCTGAAATCTAAGCACACACACACAGGAGCAGAGCACAGCCCACACGAGGTTTGCAGAAACACCCCCAGCATTACCCTCAGTGCTGTCTGCAGCTCGTCTTTGAGGGAGCTGATCTCCTGCTTCAGGTACTGGATTTCCGACTCTTTGACCCGCAGCAGGACCTGTGGGAACAAAAGCAGCGCGTGCTTGCACCAGAGCGGATGTGGCGCGATCCCGAGACGCTCGCTCGATGCGCCTGGTGACGACTGAGCCAGGGCTGAAGGCTCAGCCCCACGTTGGCTCCACACCAGCGCCGCAAAGCTGCCGGTTCTCTGGTTTGCACAAGAAAATTACTCCTGGGTCTTGTGGGACCTTGCCCAAGCTTGCACCACTGATGTGCTCCCCGCACACGTCCCCACTGCTTTGCGGGGACTGGATCCCTGGGGACAAGCAGGGGCTGCAGAAGGAAGAGTGAGTGTTTGGCTCGACACAGTGAGAAGGGAAGATTAGGACTCCAAGAGCTGCTGGCTCCATCGCGGTGCACGGAGCTGACCAGCCATGCAGACCTGATGCATGGAGGGACGCTCCACGGGCACTCGCGCCCACCAACGCTGCCCCTTGGCATGGCAGAGCTCACCTCCAGCTCGT